CAACATTATCAACATACACTAATATTAAAATTCCGCTCATTTGAAAATTATTAATGTTTCAACATTCAAATATTCTACACTTAATTTCCCAAAAGCATTCTGTAAAGCATTATGTAAATACTGCGTAACATGTACTCATTATGATGACATCAGGAATATAATCCAAAGTATGAAGCTACTTTACTCTATATATATATATATATATATATACCAACTCAGCATAATTGGTTATTCAAAAGTAAGTGTTCTGGTATCTTCTAAAAGAATATCACATCTCATAGTTACAAAAACCTGTAGCAGTTTTTCAAAGAAAACAAACTAATTTGATCTTAAAGTTTAAAGGAACTAGAATAATGCAAATGCATAAAAAGAAAGCACCCATACAAAAAGTAAATGGTTTGATTGGATGGAATTGCAGTTGCTTAAGTTAAGCACATGTCTTTTCAACACCTCACAACATTCTCAGGCAAAAAGCTCCATAAATGTTTGACATTATTCATCAGCATATGTAAATGTATTCATATTTATATATTTATATTCATCAATCACACAAGCATTGTTATTCATTATTACATTCTAAATCATTATGGTACCAAAAGTGAAAGGATGCTACATAGATAATTAACTTGGAACATAATTAACCTAGAACACTCTAAATCACTCTCAGAACACTTAACATAATTAACCTAACGAGATAAACATTTTGACTTACTAGGGTCACGTTTGGTCAAAGTAGCAATGCCTCAAAAATTGTATGCAATATCGGAATTCTCATTTATCTGATAGTAGCTATTGAAAGCATAGGAAGCATGAGAAACAAGTGTGTCTGGTTCAAAACATGGTCCACCTTGCTTAGATATGAATTTGCAGCTGAGTAAAATCTTACAATTGGATCAAACTTACAAAGACTGCTTTCAAATTGTGCATATACTGCTTAGGATTCTCAACTTCACCACACCTCCATCTCTCATAAAACATGTAGAACATCACTACTTCATGGCTAGGACCAAGAACTTTCCCGCTGGACATGCAATCTCCAATACCTCNCTAAGCACTACCATAACAGATTACTCCCATAAAGTACCTCTAACATATTCATTCACAATAGTTAATTCATCCAAAACAGTTCATCATCATCATCATATTGCAGTTTCACAGATTAAACCTTTCAAAACATACAATTCACTTTACTTTAAAAAAACCCAAATTGTGCTTCAATAGCAAAATAACACCACACTCAGCATATATACAGTTTGTACCATAAATTAAAATAGTAACTACCTTCCCTTACCTCAGCTCAAGTTTTACACCGATTACAGAACCCCGACTAAAGCTTGCACCACAAGGAAACTCAACAGAAACCTATAACTCACCAATTTGTGATAGGAAAACAACCTTAGAACCTAATTTGAGTTAGAAATTGAAGAAGACAACAACTCAACACATGCAACCAGAACTCTTTGCATGATTAAAGTTAAAGACGTACGAGAAAAGAGGGGAAACAACTTACCGACTCAGAACAAGAAATCGATCGGTCAAGATTGTTGCCCTTGACGCCAGGATCGTCTAGGCACTTCCTGATCGTCGAACAAATAACTCAGTAGAGAGAAAATCTAGAGAGAAGGCAGAGAACCCTAGGTAAATAGTGTTCTAGAGAGATAGAAGTGTTTTAGATAATGAACCAAACTTTAAAAAGTTCTACTTATATTCTAGGATTATTTTAAAGTAACTTGCTCGTATCATTATTTTAATACACTTATCTATTTTAATACTCTATTTTTTGGGTTCTTATATCACATGCTATCATTAAATTCATTGAACTTTTATTTCAACTGTAATTCAATGAATAAAACTTATATTTGTCTTAGAAAGAAAAATCCTTCTCCTTGCTCATTTCAATAAAATAAAAGCTAAATAATAAATTAACTCTGAAATCAATTATCTGGATCACTATTAACAAAAGTCAAAATTTAATTTCGTGATAACCAAATTCAAACTTACCATTTTGTAAAATTCACTCAAAACAAATTTACCAAAAAACGAATTACAATAAACATTTTCACAAAAATATAATAAAAATAAACTTAGAATTCAATTTCCTGAAAACTGAATTCCAAAATATTTTTCAAATAATTCTTAGAAAATAGTCAGAATTTGGTTTTTCAAAACCNACATCCAAAACAACTTTTCACCTACCCTGTCAGGCCATTTAGACGTCGGATGACAGGATCAGATGTCTATATGGCGAAAAAAACAATTTTTCACCTACCTGTAAAGCATATAGACATCTGTGACAGGGGGGGCCGACGTCTATAATCGTATATAGACGTCGGGATGGCAAGAACAAACGTCTATATGGCGGAAAAAAAGAACTTTTCATCTACCTGTCAGACATATACACGTCTGTTAGGAGGGGACCGACGTCTATAATGTTATAAACGTCAGTGCCCCCTTAACAGACGTCTATGTGTCCAACTTATTTATGAAAATGCCACCGGTCAATAATTTACGTTGGTTATTTTGTGGTCCGACGTCTATGGGGTGATGTTAAAAGCCAATTTTGCACTAGTGATAAGTTTTGTTAGAAAATGCTCCCTATAATGAAAAATAAACTTCTCATATTAAAAAAAGAAATTTTACATTTTTCTTAAGAAAAGAAGTCATATTTTGGTAAGAAATTGAAGATTCTAAATTTTTCATAATTATTGGCAAAGCATATGATACATCTAGAAAAGAACAAATGGATATTGTTTTAATATTTTTAGATAATGTTGGTGTTTCGGTAACTAACACTATAAAAATCTACATTTTTACCGGGGGTTATTTTTTCCATTTCCGGCGGTTTTAATCCTCGAAAAATATGTTACCCACGGTTAACAAAACCATTGAGAAAGTAATTACCGACGGTTTGTCAAGAAACCGCCGGTACTAGCGGGGGTTTTGTCAAAACCACCAGTACTAGCAGGGTTTTTGTCAAAATTGTGGGTACTAGTTGGAGTTTTGTCAAAACCACATGTACTAACAGGTTTTGTCAAAATCGCCGGAAATGTTTTTTTAGTTTTTTATTGTAATAAAATGAGATTATGATAAAATTAGTTTTATTAACCAAACAGACAATGAAATAATATGAACTAAAACTAAATATTATATATAAAATAAACTACATTGTTCAACATATTAATATGTTCATGGAACCAATATATATTAAAAAGAAAGATGTTCAATACTAAATTAAAATACTAAAAGTATGACTAAGATTACATTACTAAAAAAGAAACAATGTCTTAAAGATGAGCTCCTCATATGCTGCAACATTCAATTCTTGAAGATGGACTCCTTTAAAAAACTTGGGAAGGAAATATTGATGTACTGGGATAAGAAGCAAAGAAACAAGTAAGCTGTGTAGAATAATGTAAACATGGCCACAGCTTTAAAATTTGGTGGGCTAACGGAGTCTGCATTTAATCATATGATTCTTGCATACTTTGGTATAGTTGATTCAAGTTCATATTTTTCAGCATGCTTTTTCGTGCGACAGATACAATATTTTTACGCAACAGCTGCTCCAAACAAAACAAGTAACAATGATAGCCACAAACAAGCAAAAATTAGCAACATGGACTATACAAGTTTGTCAGTACATAGAAAAATTAGTGAAACAATGACAGACAAAATACTACAAGAGGAGGTAATGAAAGGGTAAAAGTTTTAGTTTCAGAATGAAACTGNGTCACGTCGACTTTTTATTCTTTTTTAAATATATATTCTATGTAATCTTATCTGAATATATCACGTTGTTAAATCTATTATATATTTGACACGTCACCTGAAAAAGTTAATTAGTTAACTCAATTTAAAAACAGAGAATCAATTATTTTAATTTTTTACTTTTAGATCCAACTAAAGAAAGATTTATTTGAGAATGTCTAATAGAAATATAGAAATATAAACTACAAAAATAGTTTAACCAAAAAAGTATATAAAATTGAAATAAAATACTTTTAATAAGAATACATCATATAAGAGTGAATGCTCTATATGGAAATAAATTATATTTATAAATCAGATATTTAATTAATAATATCATTGAATAACATTATTTAATATATTAGTTATATATATATCGATATCAATTATTAGATTTAATCAAATTTGTAACATTTTCATAATTATATTTACTAGTGTAATATTTTGTAACATACTATAATTGTATTTATTACGAATAATTCTATTAATTTAATATAATTTTCTAGTTGGGATGAAAAAATATGCATATTGGACGGAAGGAAAGTACAATATTCATTCTTTTATTCTTGATGAATATACCTATTTTTAAATATAAATAAAAGAAATGAAATAAAATTAAAACTAAACAATAAATTATAAAAATATAACCAAGTGTTGAAAGACGTAATTAAAAAATATATATTTATAATAAATAGTTATAATCAATTAATAAATTAAAATCTAAATTAATCACTATCCATTATAAATCAAATGATGTACTTCAATATTCAAACATATAGATGATAAAATAAAAAATCTAAAAAAAATACAGAAAAAAAAAGCTAAAAAGAAAATTAGAGAGATAATAATTCTTATATAATAAAACTCGATTAATAAAAAAATTTATTTATGGTTCCACTTTTTAAATAATAAAACCATTGAGTGTGAACCACAAGTAGTGATTTTTTGTTATTACTCTTTACAATGATTTATTCCAACCTTATTCTAATAAAATGTTCTGAACCATGGAAGATGCCCCTTGTTGTACTACGAAGAACTTTACTTTTTTTTAAGCGATAACAAATGTCTAAACATGTCTACAAGAAGGTTTTAATAAGGTTATGCTACTCCATGGTCATGTCTTTCTTTTATTGTAATGCTAAGTTTTAATTTAACAAAAGAAACTAAAATAGAATTACGTGTCCACTGAAACAAATTATTTTTAAGATTAAAAAGCGAAATTTATCCAAAGGTGAGTGATAAAAAATACTGGTAAATAAAAGGACCAAATTGTGATTATTAATAATCCATATCTGCAATTTCGAATCATTCACACTAACAAGAACTACAAGTGGCACCATAAACCAACCAAAATAAAAATCCCAGAAAAAAAAAACACCGAAGAACTTCTCTGGTTAGTCACGAACAAGAGAGTTAATTAAGAAAGTGGCCTCATCTGCCGTGGGAACTGCATCATCTGCTTAAAAAAAAATATTCAGTTTTCGTTGCTGTTTCTTAATATATCTTGAAGATTTTTCATGGGAGGAAAAAAAACATGAAAACTATTGAACACAAAACCTAGTACATAGTTTTTGTTTGTTTACCTGGTACTGGAGCAGGTAGACGAGAAGCAATGTTATGAATGATGCCTCCATTTTCTGTCTTGAAGCGTTTGACTTTTTCATCAGCCATGGTTTCTTCTTCCTCCTTCTCCTCTTCTCTTACCACCACCCCTTCTTCACCTTCACTTTGATGGAAGAAACTCGAAACCATTTTTCTGATAACCCCTCCCTTTTCTCCATCGTCGTCATCGGCAGCAGCAGGAGCAACACTTTCATCATTGTGAGAGGGTTTTGGACTCAGTGGTGTGATGAAAGCAATGAAGTTGTTGATAATACCACCACTATCCTTCTCTTCTTTTCCAACATCATCTTCTTTCGCCTTCTCAACTTCTTCTTCTTCTCTTTCAGATCCATCTTCTGAGTTCAGACTTGGAGGAACCAAGCTCTCGACGTTTGTTCCACCTTCTTCCATTTGATACTTTGGTCAGTGAATTTTTCTCTTTATCTTCCTTCAAGTGTAAGGAAATAGAAATGAGGACCTTAAAAGCAGTGCCACATAAATGACACGTACTTTGCAGTTCTTAACTCTGCAAATGAAGTCGGTTGCATAAATGAGTCCTTGGATTTTGTAGCCACCCTCATCGTGTTCCTAGACACCTTTTATTTAACTCTGCAATATAAGAATAAATATTCGTGTGTCTATCAGAAAATAATAACTTAGTTCTTTTCGTTTATTTTATGTTTTAATTAATTAAATTCTTTTACTTATAATATGAAAACTTATAGATTCAATTAAAATTGTGGATTTTCTAATCCACGATGGATTAAAAAAAAATAAGAAAATGAAAATCGTAGAAAATGAATTGGTTAAATAGTAAAAGTATAATTTAGCTTTGATTATGCGTTGTTTGTTGTAATCAAAATCAGATTTTGTTTAAAATAGTTTTCAGATAATTAATTTTATTCGGATGAAAAAATATTTTTTTACAAACTTAACGTTTTGAAATCCAGGTGGAAGACAGAGACGGTTTTACCCCTGTGGGGGACTTTGGATTTGGAGACTCATTTTTTAATTTAAAATTTTTCAATACGTTTCGCATTTTTAATTACTCGGTGGGGTTAGGGCTGTTATTATTTTTTAGGTTTTTAATAAAATAATATATAATTTTTTTTTTTTTTTTTTTTTTTTACGAATGGCCAACAAGCAAGAGGCGTGAGTGGTCATAAAGAAGTACGCGGCCCAGATGGACGGAAGAGGCGAGTCAGGCGTTGCCAAGCAGCTCAAAGACAAGGAGACACGTCAGAAAAGGGTTAATCTCTTGGTGGCCTACAAATCCTACCGAAACACACCACATACATACATCATGACAGAACCATGACATAGAAGAATGATGAAGAGAAGAATATATATTATATATATATATATAAAACTTGTGTATGCTCTTTTCTTCAATTGGTACATTTTAGCAATGTGTATTGGGTTTTAGTAGACAAAAATATCATCATATATTATGGATTCTAAGTTTTAAGGTCAAGAGTATTTGAATAATTTTCATTCTCAAAACTAAAAAAAAACAAGAAACCCCCAAACCCTTACTCACCTCTCTCATTCCTTTCAACCCTTTCTCTTCATCTCTTTCACTCTAAAATTTCTTCGTCATCCCTACTGTAGCCCTAACTGAAAAAAATAAGAAACACTCATTGTTAAACAATTTGCCTTTGTAAAGAGTTGAGTCATGTCAATTCACCTCAAGCAAAGGTCATTCAAGATCTCTTCAATTTCATCATCTTCACTAACTCTTAATTATCATCTTGCGGATTTGAATCATTATATCTAAAAAACCCTCCAGGCCAATTACCAATTCCTTTTTATATCATTATACTTGTAAAAATTAGATAAAATTAGATAGACAAATTATAAAATGATAACTCATTACAAATCATTTTTGTGACAGAAATTGTTAACAACGATATTTCTGATTTTTTTCAAGCCAATTACCAATCTTTAAATGTCATTAGCTTGTGAAAATTAGATAAATTAGATAAGACAAAAATTATAAAATGAAAACTCATTATAAAATTGTTTTTTGTAGAATTAGAACTGTTTTAACAGGAGTGTTTTTTATTTTTTCAGTTGGGAGCTACCATTGGATGACCAAAGAATGTTGGAGTGAGAGAGATGAAAGAGAAAAGGTTGAGTGGATGAAAGAGATGAAAGAGAAAAGGTGTGAGTGGATGAGGGAGGTGAGTAAGGGGTTTGCGGGTTTCTTATGTTTTTAGTTTTTAGGAGAAAATATCAAATTACCTTGACTTTAAAACTTATAATCTATAATATATGGAGTATTTTGTCGACTACAAATCCGTAAACATTACTGAAATGCGAACCAATTGAAAAAAGAGGTACGTATTTACCCATAC